CACAATAATAGAAAGAACAAACAAGGATGACGTTGCCCGCTTTCTAGCCTCAGGCAAATTATAGAGGCACCCAACGGCAAGCTTTGGTAGATATCTGTTCGGTGTAGAGTAGTTCGCCTTAGGCGTTCGGCGTAAATCAAAGGCGAAGTGCACTGGGATTTTCGTCATTGAAACACGGCCGAAAAGATTTGCAATGAGGAAATCATGGCCTCTGACGTTTTCGGAAAGATCGTATTTGCTGTTTTTGGCAGTCAAAAACGTCAGCCAGCATTTTCGAAAAGAGAATAGCTCTCTAGAAAGGTTGTGGAAAGTTCATTTCAGCTAACATTGTCTCAAAGGAAGATTTGGTTCCCTAAAATATTCTGGCCATTAAAATTTCAGCTACGGAATCCCATGTAGAACAAAATCCTCTAGCCAATGAAAAGATCACTTGAAACAGACTTCAAACACCACAAGGTACTTAAAAATGCTTTTCTTCAGTGCTTTTCGTCATTTGATTTGTCTCGCTGAGTGCCCCTGAAATTAAACGTATAGAATAAGTGCAGTTACAGACACTTCGGTAAATGGATCATCCGCGGTGCTTCACACCTAGGTTTTAGTCTACCACGTTAACACGCGGTTACACGGGTTACACGCGATTTGTAATTTGCAAGGTAAACCTGCAAAGGAAAAACAACCTTCAGTGGTAAGATCGTGCCCTAAAAGGTCACCTTCGGTAATCTAAACTGACTTTTCTCTCCATTTAAGGTGAACCCCTTTTCACGCACCCGCTTTAAAACTGCATCCAAGTCCCTGTCATGCTCTTCCAGGTCTGACCCGCGAACAAATGTTGGATGAGATTTTTGTGATATCCAGAATGATCAATAATCAGACAACGTCTGTGGATCACTTCCTTATTGTGGTGTAGAACTTCAACGCTCTGCCGTTGTCGGCAGTCAACTCTCTCAAACCGACTCAAAAATGACGGTTAAGTGCGCTCGTGCTTAGCTGTAATTGGTCAATTGGCACGTTTCCTTTGTGGAACAAAGTAAAGGAAATGGAGATAACAGTCTTAGGCGGATGAATACGTGCCCAGAGCGCCTTAACGTACATTTAAAACTACTCCCGAATAAGTGAATGTAACCAAATTTACAAGCTCCGCTTAAGTAAAGCACTTTCGAGAGTAAGGTGTCAGTGCCAAGCGCAGCCATGGCTGCTCAAAGAGCTTGAAAAGTTATACAAACGTGATCCTAAAATGATCAGTAACAAAAGCCGAAAAACTTGTGGTAAATACTTGCGGTAAATACTTGGCTTAGCTAAATTCGAGTTAGTTAAAATGTTCGATAAACTACTAGCAACGGAAACCAAAGTTTCCGCGTTCCTTTACACAAACGTTTGGGAGCTGAAGTGAGAAAGCTAAACCTCAAAAGAGCTCAAAGAGCTTAAAAAGTTATACAAACGTGATCCTAAAATTATCAGTAACAAAAGCCGAAAAAACTTGTGGTAAATACTTGCGGTAAATACTTGCCTTAGCTAAATTCGAGTTAGTTAAAATGTTCGATAAACTACTAGCAACGGAAACCAAAGTTTCCACGTTCCTTTACACAAACGTTTGGGAGCTGACGTGAGGAAGCTAAAACTACTGTTAACCATGCTAAAATAACTCACAACGGGTCAAGCTTACAATCTTATCAGACAAAGCAGCTACATGCCCTTGTCCTTCTGATAGTATCTGCGGAAATTTCGGGCTGTCGCCTGATGCAACTGTTCCTGAGGGAAAGTTATTTCAATTACCTGCAAGGGACGAGGTTGTTTGTTTGATCGTTTCAAACTGACTTAGCCTAAGCTTAGTTTGCACGTTCCGATTTTCCGACTCCGGCCTTACTTTATTAACATATTTAGAGCGTTCACGGTAGTACTATGATAAAGTGAATATATTGTTTAAAATGTTATAAAATATGCTTCAACATAAGTGTCGTAAAATATACTAAATAAAGCAAAGAAAAAAAAAGTGGTGAGTTCTTCACCCACGTTAAAATAAGAATTTGCCTACTTACTGACTGACTGACTGACTGACTGACTGACTGACTGACTGACTTAATTTACTTACTTACTCGCTATTCTACTGCCAGGCATCTAATTCTGTTCTACAATGGCAGTAAAACTGAAGCCATACATATGCACCACAACTATAAATTACAGGCCAGCAATAAATAAAGGATAAAGCATGCGATGAATAACACGGAGACGTCTTCTACTCGGGTGTAAAATCAAACGTCGGGCCAGCATTTGGTCCTATATACGGGTCTCCAATGTCTTCAACAGGCGTGCGCAGTAGGTTAGTCAAGTGGAGGTCAACAGAATACATAAGCCCCAAAGCATCATCCAGCGTGTCAGGGCGGCCATTAAACACGTTCTCCAGGGATTTTAAAAGCTTGGTGTAGACCTTGTTGAACCTCACTGCCTGTCTATAGGCCTTGGACCCTTTAACGTATTTCGTCATCCGGGGATTTGGAATCATTGGCCAGACACCTTCAGGATCGAATGGAATATCTGATCCATTGAAGTAGTATGTGCTATTACACATCTAAGGGAAAGATAAAATTAAATAAACGTTACATTAGAGAAAAAATACAGCGGAGTGTAAAAAACATGATTGTAGAGAGGGAAGCTGATATCGACAATTCTTAATTTGTCGAGCATTTATAAATGACCTTCTGACTCGGAAGATCGAGCAATCACGTCTTCAGTCTTCGACCTTAAATACAGTAAATAAAGACAGAAAGACAAAAGTATTTCCAAGTCACTTTTAATTTCTTAATATGTTTTAAATGCAGTCTTGAAAACTTCATGACTTAGTATAAAATTTAGATCATTTAAAGTTATGGCACATGTAAAACTGAATGTCATGGCTAAATGACGTTTAACGCATTTCCTCTCATTTTCTAGGGTTGTCAATACCTGCCCCTTATTTTAGGTTGTTCGAGAGTTTAAGAACACGATACCTTTGAGTAATCTAGTACAAATTCGCCATAATGGTTGTCTGGTGCCTTCGTTGAATTCACAACTTGAAGCTCGTGTTTCTCAACAACGGAATAGAAGAGGAAGTAATGGGACAACTGTTCTGTACCATAATAACTCCAGGCAAGAGGGTTACACACTGAACTACCTTCACCTTGATCGACGATCATGCGAATGGCCTCCACAGCCGTAGAGTAGTTGGTTACCTTCATGCCTTCATGGTGTACCGAATATTTTCTGAAGTCGACCTGTAGGCTCGGGTCTCCAGTGAATATGCTATCGTTTTTCCCGCAATCAGTGAGGTTACCGAGTGCATTCAAAATGTGCATGTAAAATCTACCTATTGTGTTATGGTGTTTCACAATCTTTAGATCGTCTGAAGGATGAGGACCTTGCTAAAAAAAAGAAGAAGAAAAACACAGTGAAAGAAAGCATGAAAGCGAATAAGGGTCACATAACAATGAGGGCAAAATTATTAAATTCTGAGTAGTCGAAATAGAGGATATTTTTGTACATAAATTCGTGAGAACCACGCGGTCATCAAATGGAAGGTTCAGATATACGATTAAGATTAGGTTCTACGGTTATGATCATAATAAGGACTGCTGTTCGATTTCGAGTTACGCCCAGGGCAAACAAGGGTTAGAGCACTTGTGGGCTATTCCTGTGGTTTGGTGCGAAACCCTCATGCGCATTACGTGACTCTCAATTTTATAGTAACTATTACCTTCAATTTCTTTATTGTTATCCTCTTTTCCTTTTCATCATTGAAATCTTAAAAGATTAAAATGTTACTGCGTTAGTATGAATGTACGTAATATGAATCTCGTTATTATTGGAATTTTGCGGACGATGCTGTAATGTTGAACCTTTTCTTTTACCCGAATTTACTTGGTAAGAAAGTATAACTGCCAGCGGCACAAGGACCTCATAGTAGACGCAGACCATAAATTGTTCCTGTATCTTTGCAAAGGCTACACAAATAGTCAGTGAAGATAGAAAACTGTACATCAAGTTATACAGAAGATATCTTTTCACAACTGAACAACTTATCTGGGTAACCGGAGCACCCGTTTAGAGGCGCGACCCTTTAAGGGATCCGGGAACATGCTCTCACGGATCCGAAACAAATTGGGTTTTTAATACCTTAAAGTGCTATTTCCTGTGCATTTTTAGTCATTTGGACAGGACACTGGCCAGTTCCATTTCCTTCGGGTGCCGAAGCCTTGAAAATTGGCTGATTATTTCTTTCTAGTCAATTTTGCAGGTCCTAATACATATCAGAGCAGGGCAAGTCCAGGAGTCACTTTAGCGCTGATACGTTTCTCTCATGTGGTAGCTGGTGGAGTAACAAATATTTTGAGGTACCCAAGGCAAAACTACGTCCAGCGGTAGAGCAAGACAGGGACAAAATGCCAGACATCAAGGATGTCTGGCATATTTCCTGACGACTGGACATGTGCTAGAGTGACTCCGTTGTTTAAACAGGGCGAGTCATCTGATCTAAGCAACTACCGACCTATCTCAGTCATTTCCGTAGTCGCCAAAATGTTCGAGAGTATTGTGTACGATCAGTTATACAACTTCTTCAGCAGTGAAGAAATCCTCTCTAAACAACAGTCTGGTTTCCGGTCTTTACACTCAACTGTTGCAGCTCGTCTTGAAGCCACTGACAGTTTAGCGTTTAGTGTCGATTGTGGCTACGTAAATGCCGTAGTGTTTCTTGACTTAAAAAAGGCATTTGACACTCGGCTGTTGATCATGAGATACTACTAGACAAATTGAATCGGTGCGGAATTCAAGGGAAAACTCTTGATTAGTTTAAATCGTATTTGACTAATCGCACACGACGGTGCTCCGTTAGTGGCTGTCTTTCTGACTTCACCACTCTTAAACGTGGTGTGCCATAGGGAACGATTCTTGGTCCTCTTTTATTTCTAATTTAAATTAACGATTTGCCTCACTGTCTATCGTTTAGCGTACCTAGAATGTATGCTGATGACACCGCCTAGTCTATCTCACGACCTTGAACACCTAAGCAAATGGCTTGTGTCTAACAGACTTACCTTGAACGTTACAAAAACAGAATTTATGTTGATCGACTCCGGGCAAAGACTAAGTACGCTATCTGATACACTCGAATTCTCCATTGATAATGTCCCAATTGAACAAGTTTCCTCTGTGAAATCAATTGCAGTATATATCGATGACAATCTAACGTGGCATTCCCACATTGATAAACTGTGTAAAAAGATTGCTTCTGCAAATGGAGCCATAAAGCGAATTAGGCCATTTGTGCCTCAATCTACCTTACTCTGCATATACAACTCACTAGTTCAACCTCACTTTGATTACTGCAGCCTAGTCTGGGTTAATTGTGGCTAAACATTATCTAAGAAGCTACAAAAACTACAAAACCGTAGTACACGAGTAATAACTTCATCGGGGTATGACGCTGACGTCGATTCTTTGTTTTACAAACTCAGCTGCAAAGACTTGCAATCTCAACGTCAAATTCAGAAAACCCTAATGGTTTTCAAGTCTTTAAGCGGTCTGGTTCCCAAATATCTCACTTCTAAATTTGTAACGCGAAATGAATCAAATTATGTTCTGAGGGACTTGGTTGACAAACTTGTTGTTCCCTTTCCGAGAACTAATTACATGAAAAATAGTTTTAGTTACAGCGGCGCAACCCTTTGGACAGCTTGCCCTGTAATATTAGAGAGTCTGGTTCATTAAATCAATTTAAACGCTTTCTCTATCATAATTTTTAAACGCAAGGCATTCATGGAAATCAGGTTTACAAGAGGAATATTGTTGTAAGTTAATATAATATTAGGATTAGAATTTTAGGGTTAGGATCTTAGACGTTTTATTGGAATTTATTGTACCGAATTTATTTTTACCGTGTATAAATAATGATTAAATGAAGTGCAGATGAACAAAGGAATCAGAGCTAAATGCATCCCAGTTAGGACGTCCCGTTTTTACACTAGATGCATTTAACGTCTCAGACCTTAAAGTCGTCTGTTAAGTGCGTCGTTTCGACGCATTTGACAGAAGACGTTAAAATCGTCAGAAGTTAAATGCGTCTGTTTTATTTACTGGCTTAAGGTTGAAGTCGTCTCGAGACGACTTTAACGTCTTTTGACATAGAAGCAGCCACTAAAGTCGTCTCGGACGACTTCACTTCTCAGACACCTTAACTTCATTGATATAAAAACGGGCACTCATCGTATCTTTGACAAGACTGTATTGAATAACTCGTCAAATAAAAAAAAAAAAGACTCAGTCGAGAACATTACGCTTAATAGTAACACTGGTACTCAGTGAAGATCAGGAAATAATATTCAAGCATTACTGAAAAGGGACTAGCCAGCGACGAGCTGACCAATTAATGCTTCATCAAGTGATTTTCTTACTAACCTTTAAGAATACATGAATCTCTCACATCATCGATCAAGGGATCCGAATACGTTCTTTGGTGCTTTGGAGGTTTGCAGCTGGTCCCCTCATCAGTTTTGTGGCAGTGTTCTTCTTCTTCTTTCTTGATTCTATGACGACGCGCGTAATCATATGTGTGTTTGTAACTAGAAACTAGTTTTTGCTCCATTGTCGGTTGCTCGATTTTCATAAAAATGTTCCTGATAAGACCAAGTGAGAGCTTTTCAATGGGGATGATTAAGTTTGGCTGAAGTCCACCTGGCATACGGGTGGGATAGTGTGGAAGGAAGTCCTTTGAATACAGCAAAGGTTTCCCTCCAACAGCGTTAAGGATGTTAGCGACAAGCGTCAAATGCATCATCTCTTCAATGACTATGCTTCTTATCACCTTGTGGATTTCACGGTTAAAGCTATTTTTGATAGATGCCAAGGCAGTCAAGTATGGAGGAATAGTTGAATGTTCCACTTCTATGGCAGTCTGCAGGTCTCTTCGGAGGTTTTCTACCGAGTAGTAATCCTGCGCTTCACCTTTAGGTAGTTTTTCATTGGAAAGCCATTCGAGAATAACCTGACGTTTGGAAGCTGATAGATCGCGTGTCACCGGCATATGATTTGGATGAGACATAGGCAGTCTCAAAGTCATATTGATGGCCTTAAGGTGCTCTTTGACTTCGTAATAATTTCCTAAATCTACGAAGTTCTCAGTCATCACTGGATACAAATTTGCGTATTGCTTGAATATGGGGTATACATCGTCCAACCAGGTTGCTTCTTCACCCTTGCGTGTATAGTTGTCCCATACAAGAAGAACAAAAACCGAGTTAAGTAGCATCAAAGGATTGTTGCCGTAACACATGCTCGAGCAATTACTGGTCTGTCCTTCCACTGAGTAGAAGAATGGGTAAATTTGTCCATCGATATATTTTCTGTAATTTTGTGGATCCTTAGTTTCGATAGAAAGCGTTGCGATTCCGGTCTTGTTTGTTCTTATTTCTGTTGTACAAGGCAAAGGAGGTTGGCCAACCTCCGGTTCGGGTGAGAATATGTTCTCACAATTGCAAGGGTCTATTAGCACTTTCGCGTCCTGAAGAGGTTTTCCAAAATTTGTAGCGAATAACTCAACCACAGCGTTTTCACCAGGATTCTTTCGAAATGTCCATTTGTTGAGCGGATGAATATCAATACCATCTTCAGCTTCCGCGAGTAGTATTCTTTTACATTTGAGCACAGGCAAATTGCCACTTGCCTAGAAACAGAAATGTCACAAAGAAAAAAGCAAATGAAAAAAATGCAAATCAGAAAATGGTAGAAAACGGGATTAACCAATGCAACTAAATGTTAAACAGACACTTTGCAACTGAACAGAAAACGAACATTAACAACACGGCTCAAATCTTTAGAGTTGAGGAGACGAACTAGCTTTAATAATTGTACGTTTTGTTGTCATGCTAATGTAAAAGAATAAAGTGGTTAAAAATGCAATCAAAGCTTACACGCTACCATGTACCTCAGCAACAACGAGGGGGCGGTTGTTTAGTTTCCCCATATCGTCTGCTGTTAGAGATCCCAGGGCCGGGAAGATCTGGACACCAGCGGAGTTCTGGTACCAGTTGGGATACGTATCATACACCGTTCCAAGCCATAGCAGTTCATCAGAGCAACTCAGCGATGGATTTTCGTTTACAGGCAAAGCAACAAGGAGACCCTCAAAGCCGCTGGTAGCAAGGGTTCCATTTTCGTATACTGGTAAACTGTTTCCAAAGTCTACAAAGACTTTCCTGAGACGTTGATCGACATAAAACGGAGTATCCTGCAGATTGTTCACCAAAGACTTCATCATGCGGCCGAGAGTAAAGAACGGGGGTGATTTCTTCCCTAACAAACCAATTGTGCCTGTAAATAAAGGGAAACAACTTTTTACAGCCATGCTAAAAAAATTATATAGATGGGGAAAAACTAACTTAATTTCCACTTCTGGCTTATTTTATCATTAAATGTGCGGTTTACGATTTTGTATGTTTCTTTGCCGTCCTCTGCTAAACAACAACGTGAAATGACCAAATTTTATGTTTTTTTAGAGATAGTGAGCGCATGACGGCAAATATTTTTCTTTTCTTTTTTTCCCTTTCTTTAACGCCATTCATAGTAATTTAGTCCCTGCACAGTGCGGCAGCATTTATCAAGTTAGGCGAATTTCAATAGAAACGAGAAGTTGTATTTTGGTATGACATTTTCATTGCCATTGTCGTCGCCGTTGTCCCTGCTAAAGCTCCCTAGTAGGGACTTAAACATTTAGGACGCGATGGCTCTAAGGCGCCGCCGGAAGTAAATTTTCAAGCAGGATGCACACTGCGCGTGCCTAAACCGTCGCCCACTCCGGGAGTCACGTCGCGTCGAGACCGTGAGTTTTTAAATGTTGGCGCTGTGAACAAAACGTGAGTATTAATCATTCTTTTGTCAAAGAAAAAGTTGTTAGATTCCCCTAAACATTTAAGATTTATATCGTCCAGTCACGTAGGTAGTTTGTGGCCAATTTAGATTGCAAAATTTTCAAGATTCTGACTCTTTTTTCGACATTGTTTACAGGTGTCTAAAGCATCAAAAATATGGCAACGTCGACCCAACCTTCGATATCAAGTATTAACTGAAAGTTTATCTCTGATAACATGTACGAAATCTTAAACTTTTGAATGGCAACAGTTTCGTCGTCTTTTACACACATCGTTTCCGAAATTTGGCCCGTATATTAGTCCAGAAAAAAACCTTGTGATATTTTACCGAAACACACTTGTCTCGCAAAGGCACTGCAAAACTGTGAGACGATTCTATTCTTGCTCTGTATTTTTATCAATTATGTTTACGGACAAGGGACCAGACTACCCTGTGTTTAGAGCTTACACACCAAAGTAAAGTTGCACGAGGGGAAGTAATAAAAGCAAGAAATTGTCAAACATCGAGCAAAGAATAATAAGCGTTTAATCAATGAAAGTTTGTGACTACTTAGAGTACACAAACATTTTAAGTCAGAAGGTCTTCAAGTTAAGAAAAATCACTCTTTTCCACCCGGAAAATCGGCACTATTTTTGGGTTTACAATTATTTTTCTTTTAATACGGCAGCAATGGCGTTGTGTGCGTCGCAAAACTTAACGTTATTTTTCCTTTGCTAACAACGGCGTTCTAGTTCCAGTCTTTGATCGGTCACCGCGTTCTAGGAGCCGTCGCGTCCAGAATCTTAAAGTACCGAGTGCCTGTCAAGCAACGCAGTATTTTTCATGAAGACCAATTTGTCATTTTTTGCTTCTTGTTGTTATTGTTTTTTTGTTGTTGTTGTTTTTTTGTTACGTTGTCGCATTTTTTGTATATTTTGAATTCTACGGGTATGTTATGGATGATATTTCACCTGTAATTCTCCCTGTGGTAAAGTTGTCCTTCTCAAAATTCTTCTGGTAGATATCTACATTAAGTCGTATCGATAATTTGTCGCTGGTAATGTTAACATTGACCATTGCCTTTTGGAGCTGTCTGACGAAAGGCGAGGTAGTTTCATTGTCTATCCACCGAATGTTCGTCAACACTGACTGGTAAGCTGCCCCATAAGGACTTCCAAATTGTGGCGTTTCTGCTACTTTTTTCCACATGTACTGGAAGGGAACTGGAGTATAATCAGCAGAAAACAGGTTCCCGATTCGAATCCTCCAGCCCCACATCTCAGAGAACGTTTGTGCCTGGGTATCCAAGTCGACCAATTTCGCCCACGTTTGGTTGCCACCATCTATAAAATATGACCATTGGAAATATTTTAATGAAACCTTTCAAAAATTTTTACGACACAATAGGATACTATGAATCAATACCACTGCACAATTCTTGAAAACCTTTCTCGAAAACTCTTAGGTTTTCGGGTGTTTGAATAATAACGCCATCAAACCGGCGGACACCAAGATCAATTTACTCATCAATGAAGAGCAACTAAAGTGTTGCGTATCAGGTGGGGGCATGAAAAGTTTAATGAGATGATAATTTATGAGAAAGGCATTTGATTATGCATGCGTGTGATTGTTTGTAATTTCGTGTTTGGAAATTTCAATTTTTTTCATTGGGATAATTTTTTTTCCTTTATGAGAAATAAAACTTATGTTTTTTAAGACGCTTTGCAATCCATATCCCCATTGAAGAATATTTTTTTAACAAATAAACGATTTTATGCGTCTAATCAGTGCATCTGTTTTGTAGCTTCCGATCAGGTGGTAGTAAGGACATACTCTTCCTAATTACCCTATGTAAGGCTCGGTTAAGCCATTCTTTGTCCACTTCGACCTAGAACAGCTAACAGTGAATTAAGGCGCGTATTCAAGGGAAACTCATCACTTTGCCACTTAATTACACTTTTTAACATCCCCTTTGAGGGCATGGCATTTCGCACTCCACGGTTCCTAAATCTAGGCCATTTATTTGTACGGAGGCATAAACACTTTATTACCATATAAGCACAAAAGAACACTAACTTTGCCCTGGACTTCAAGATGTCCAAAGTGTGTACCGTTCTTATGCAGGGTGCTGTGAACAAAATCACCATTATGAAAATCATGTAATGAGTCGGTACCTATTATCTTTTCTCCCAGGAGTGGTTCAGATTTCTGATCCCCTTCATCTTCTCCCACACAATGTCCATTGGCATAACACACGTGTGTCACTGACCCAGTAACACTCCATTCACCGCTGCCACGAGGGTTCCAACTACGACTGTGGTTTTGTAACAGGTTGGCTGCTACAAAGGTTTCAGTGTCGTAGTTGTAGGGAAAATTATTGACCGTTGATATATCAGCACGAAAAGTGCCACTGAAGTGAAAGTGTGGCCACAGTAGGTAGCTCATGTAAGGGTCATTAGGAAGGTCGTCGTCTAATGTAAATAAACAAAATGTTCACATAGATTTAAAAATCAATTTCTCGTGTAACCTCTGTTTCTTTCTGTTTGTGATGGGCGGACGAAAAAAAGGCCTACAACGCAACAAACAAAGGCCACGTTACAAAGAAGTTACAAATGTATTCGTAACGAAGAAAAAAAATTTTCATGTCAAGACATTTTCAAGAGTTAGCGCTTTAACTTTTCGTCAATTATTTCTTTTTTTGCTCCTCAAAGTGAAACCTAGGACAAGACTATCCTTATCCCATGTTTCCGCCTCACCCTTCAGCCCTTTTCAGATCGAGGGTCTTTCCTCAAGGGTCTTTCCTTTCTCCTCCCAGGACGGGAGGGTGCGTAAGGAATCTTCCACTCGGAACCCCGAAAGTATCAAGATGTTATTCAACGGTAAATGATAAGTCCAAATAAATTTTCCTTAAGGGCCTCAACAGTATGCAATGAAGTTATTTTTCGCGGCAATTAAGGAACTTTCAACTGCGATCATAGATTGGTCCACAAAGTTTGGCGGCCTTTTCTGAAATATTATTAAAAACAGTAAACGGTGAAAATCGGCGTGGGCACAATCTTCCCAGGACTGGAAAGGAGACTGGTTAGTTAATCAAGTAGCCCTAACCCAGCCTCAATCACCTAAACGCGCCTCCTTATTCCAAAGCTACAGGATACACCATTTTTTTTTTTTAGAAATTCAAGTGTATCCGACTCTTCGGCAGCATCAACACTGTAAGTAAGTAGGTAAGTAAGTAAGTAAAAGTTTTATTAATGTGTCAATGTATTTAGTTTTCACAACTAAGTGGGGACACAACAACAAAAAAATTAAAATTATTTACAAATAAAGAATAATAATAAAAATGTATATACAATTAAAATATGTAGCATGTATAAATTGTACAATAAAACAATGGATATATGAGAGGTAGTCTCTAAGAATTGCAAAGGTTACAGCAGCTATTGTTGTTGTATCGTTCATGTTGATGTAATTCAAGCAATTTAACTCCCCTGAGTACAAGTATAATTGCGGCAAATGTACTTTAACACACCTTTCTCCACAAGGGACTTTCCATTGTCAATATACTGCTGTTCATACAACATCGCATCATCAGCATCGCATTTCATTATTTATGTTCATGTAATTCAGACAATTTAACTCCTTTGAGTACGAGAAAAATTGGGGCAAATGTACTTTAACTCACCTTCCTCCATAAGAGACTTTCCATTTTCAATATACTGCTGTTCATAAGCTTTGCTCAACCAGATCTGGATTATTGCAACAATGATTATCACAAACGAAGTACACACGTTCATTCTAGTCATTCTGGCCGGAATAGGTCCACGGCCACTAAGCGAGAGTTTGGAGCTGGTTCCGCTCTTTCCAAATCAAACTTTAGCAGGGATGACCAGTGAAGAAAGATAATTTGCTTACAGGACTAACCCTGCTTCTTCCACCTAAGCAGAGGGAAGAAGAGAAAAATACGTCTGATGAGAATGATTCTCAGGCCTGCGAAATAAATTCACATAAACATGCGTGATCACCTCAGACAACTCAGTGGGTTTAGCTAACTTCAAAGGGGAATCATACAACGTTTCTATACTAGGCAGCCAAAGGAATGGCATTTTAATTCGTATTTTGACAAGAGGAATGAGGTAACAATAAATTCTTTCATGAACAATTCGCGCTACGTCATAATAGAGAGTTTGGTCAAAAGAAAAAAACTCAAATGTCCGTGCAGTCATTTTGAGTTTCGCTCAGATTGGTCGAAATTTTCCTCCCGTGTCCCTAGGTTCCGAAAGTTTGAAAAAAGCTAAGCCTGTGTTCAACATTAAAACTCTTCAAATACTGTAAAAGGCATATTGCAAGGAACAAATTTGTGTTTACGATTTTAGAAATACTCTTCGAAATTTGAAACCCTTCCTTTCGATATTGCCGCATTCTCGGAGAAAATATATTTGTCATAACATTTCTTTCAAGAAGTGATTGAACGTACTAATACACAATGGTTGGCATTCATCAGAAACAGTTTTGAGGATTATTATAAGCATCAAACTTACCAAAACCAGTATTGAGCGCTCCATATTGCTGGCAGTTTGCGACTGTGCATTGCATTTTGTTCGGTTGCGTGGTGCGTCTTGATGGCATACGCATTGCATTCTGGCGTAATTCTGATTTCAGCTGATCATTTTTAAACATTTCCTAGCCTTCTCGCATAAATGCAGATCATGCAGTAGCAGTCGCTCCCTACGCTGATCTGGCAGTAGTAAAAAAAACCCTTATTTCTTTCAGGTTTAAGTGCGCCTAAGAAGAGCTGCGCCCCAATTGTCAGTTCCTTTTTGCGAATACGCAAAGTTTTGTTTATAGTTTGGGGTTCTGTTATGCTCGCAGGGTACTTCAGCGCTCACTGATGTAATAAAAGGGGTAAATACACAATGAAGTATTACGGCCAAAAAAGGATGATTGTGTGTGCGGATGGCCTTACTAATAACTAATATACCCAAATCACTATTTAATAAGCTCTTGCTTTTTTCGAAAAATGCCCTAGCCACACTCAATTTACTTTGTTTAAGTCCGGCCTTTGTGAAGCTTGGCAGCTTGACTAAACACTGTATGCAAATGAAATCAATGGCACAAAGACTGTGTGCGTAAGGAATCTATACTGAATCATTTTACCCTTTATATTTTCGGTGATCAATAACGCTAAAGAGCTGTTCAAATAGAAAAAAACTAGAGAAACGCAGACAATAAGAGCTGGCCACACTGATTATGAGTTAAATGTTGAGTGAGTTTCGTG